AGCAAAACACAATATTTCCTGCATCGTAGATAGAGTCGTTCCCCTCGGGACTGGCTGGTTTTGAGCCAAACGAGCTGTCAAAGCTAGAGCCGATCAAGCAGCGCCTATCTTGATTGCATTGGCAGTGTTGCTAGAAATCACCTAGACATACGTTGCCAAGGCAGTTTGTTTTGAATCCACTCCTCTCTCATACTAGACCCTCTCTAGTCAGTACCGTTGATTCTCGGTAATCTGACCGTTTTTAATATGAACACTTTAATTGCTTGTCTGCACACCGTGCAAACTAAAAATAGCTCAAAGGCCATTTAGCGCATGCAGTAGAGTAAAGTGAAATGGAATAATGTGAAACGGAACGCAGAATCAAAACAAAAAAAACGGGCCTTATTACGGGTGTCACTACACGGTGATAAGGAAGTGATACTCATAATAAGAGCCATGATTGCCTTACAAATCAAATGGGAATCACTTCACCGTGACTACAAGTGACAAATTTTCACCGTGAAGTGACATCCGTAATAAGCCCCAACATATGAGGCTACCAGAAATTCGCTTTCTGATGGTCATAGGGTTACTAGAAGTTCAAATTAAAAATGAATTCCGTTAATATGAATGTAGTGTCGTTCATATTAGCGGGGGCTCATGGTATTGAAAATCGCACGAATGTGCAACTGTTGCTATGATGATTAAAATTATCACCGATTGCCTGCGAAAAGCGCTTTACCTAACACAGATTTCCAAATCGAACTCCATGCGGTCTCGCCAAACGGTGTTTATCACCGCGTGTGGTGAGTGATGGTGTCTGTTCGTCATCAGCAGCAGCAGTGCTTTCGGCACGTAGCGTTGTTCATGTTTCTCAAGTAAACAGCGAAGGCTTGCCACAATCAGCTAGCTATCAAAGCTGCCCTCAAGAGCCCTCGATCCACTGAAGAAGGAGGAAGAAGCTGCACTGCTAACAAAAAATAAATACAAAACTATCGATTTTAAATTGGCTCACTACTTGACTAGCCTATTGGTCCCAAGCAAATCGATTAACGTACCCCATTCTAGTCAAAATTCTAGTACTACCCAATGTTTGTTTTGATTCACTATGAAAGTTTGACCGATAAAATGAGGGGTTAGTGGATTTTCCTATGTTTCGAGGGGTGCATCGATTAGTTTGGGACCGAAGATAGTACCAGAGCTGAGCCAAAAACTTGAGCACTTTACTTCAGGACCTTCTAGTCTTAGAGTTACCTCTATGCTGCTACCATAGGTCCCGAAGAAACGTGGTCAACTTTTTGGCTCAGCTCTGGTACTATCTTCGGTCTCAAGCTAATCGATTCACCCCTCGAAACATAGGAAAATCCACTAACCCCTCATTTTATCGGTCAAACTTTCATAGTGAATCAAAACAAACATTGTGTAGTACTAGAATTTTGACTAGAATGGGGTACGTTAATCGATTTGCTTGGGACCAATAGGCTAGTCAAGTAGTGAGCCAATTTAAAATCGATAGTTTCGTATTGATTGTTGCTGCTACTGCTCGTCGTGAGCCGCTGTGGGCTATCTATGTCAAACGTGTCACCCTCGTTCCAAACAACATACAGCTCGCCAGCCTCATCCGTGTTGAACACCCTAATAGCTCAGCAATACTCAACCATCACGACAAAACGGTCCTTTTCAGGACCACCATAAATTATTGTTGTTTAAGAGTAAATTTTCATTGAACGTTCGCTCGCCTTGCTGCCAGCCTCATCCCCCCCATAGCTCTTTGATAATGTACCCAGTAACCAAACGTTTGTGGTTAAATGGGGTAGAACCCACGCCCTTTGGGGTGTGAGGCAATCACCACAGAACAGAAGTGGAACTTCGGATCCAAAAGTAGCTTCATATTATATTGTGAACACTAGCACACCTAGCGGTAGAAGGCAAGCTTTGCCTGAAGTTTATATTGGCAGCATGCTTTGATGGTGTGAGTGTCCATAGAAAACCCGTGTGAAGGGCATCCACAAGCATCGCTTGGTGAACGAAAATGTTCTCCCGCTTTTTGATACACTGCACACTGCAATCACGCTTACCACTAAACGGTAGAAAAACAACAGTGATTTGCTGTATTGCTGAATTTGCACTAAAGGGTGATACGGTCAAAATTTAGTCAATATCAACTTGACGTATTTCTTTCAATTTTGCATTTAAAAAACCTGAACACCCCTCATTTTGAAGGTGTGTGTGTGTAGAATGTTGCTCCTATTTTGATTTTGGAATTCACTCTTCAGTTGTCAAAATGCCGTCCAAGCAAGAAGAGCAGCGTATCAAAATTTTGCTCGCGCATCGCGAAAATCCGAGCTACTCGCACGCAAAGTTGGCAAAATCGCTAAAAGTTGCCAAATCAACCGTTACAAATGTAATTAAAGTGTTTGGGGAACGTTTGTCGACAGCCAGGAAGTCTGGATCGGGGGGAAATCGAAAACCGGAAGCCGCTGAGACGACAAAGAGAGTTGCCGGTAGTTTCAAGCGAAACCCTAACCTCTCTCTCCGAGATGCCGCAAATAAGCTGGGTGTATCGTCTACAACCGTGCATCGAGCCAAAAAACGAGCCGGACTATCGACTTACAAGAAGGTAGTGACTCCAAATCGCGATGATAAACAAAATACGACGGCCAAAGCGCGATCCCGGAGGCTGTACACGACGATGCTGACGAAGTTTGACTGCGTGGTAATGGACGACGAAACCTACGTCAAAGCCGACTACAAGCAGCTTCCGGGACAGGAGTTTTATACGGCAAAAGGAAGGGGAAAGGTAGCAGATTTTTTCTAGCACATGAACCTTTCAAAGTTCGCAAAGAAATATCTGGTTTGGCAAGCCATCTGTACCTGTGGCTTGAAAAGCAGCATTTTCATAGCTTCCGGGACTGTCAACCAAGAAATTTACGTGAAAGAGTGTTTGAATAAACGTCTGCTGCCTTTCCTGAAGAAACACGGTTGTTCCGTACTGTTTTGGCCGGATTTGGCATCTTGCCATTACGGTAAAAAGGCCATGGAGTGGTACGCCGCCAACAACGTGCAGGTGGTTCCCAAGGACAAGAACCCTCCCAACACGCCAGAGCTCCGCCCAATTGAGAAATACTGGGCTATTGTCAAGCGGAACCTAAAGAAGACCAAAAAAACTGCTAAGGGCGAGCAGCAGTTCAAGGCAAACTGGCTTTCTGCGGCGAAGAAGGTGGACAAGGTGGCTGTACAAAATCTGATGGCAGGGGTCAAGCGTAAGGCCCGGCAATTCGGATTTGGAAAAGCGGAAGCCTAACTGAATATTTTTCCTGAATTTTATACTAATTGAACTTGAAAAAGAAATTTAATTTGATTTTTTAAATAAACGATTTCACCGATTTACACGCGTTTTCCCTTGACCAAATTTTGACCGTATCACCCTTTACTTGCCAAACATTGCAATTCCACGATGAAATCAACAGCAAATCACTTCATTATAGATTGTATTGCACATCGTTGTTGATGTGCTGTGCTTTGAACTCGAAATTACAACCATACTGATAGGCTGATAGTAACAATCAATCATTTTAAGTTTAACTAATTTATCGTTGGATTTCATGTTTGCTGAAAATTGGTTTAAGTAAAAAATTTGCCTTGTTCGTACTGCACTGTTATTCAGAATATGACATTAGAACATGTATCACATTACTGCCCAGATCACATGTTTCCAAGTGATATTGAACAACATTGCAAGGCTTGTAGTAGAAGTACACACTAAGATTATTTTACCGAAATCTGTGAAATTTTACCGAAATCTCAACAGCTGAACGTTCGGTAAACAGTTCGGTGATTTTTCACAGTTTTCCTGTAATTTTTCAACGAATATCTGTGAAAACTCACCGAACTGTTTACCGAACGTTCAGTTGTTCCACTATTATTGAATACAGGAACAATTTCGCAATACTCGCGCTCTAGAATGCAAATGATTTCGGGTGAAAATGGAGAATTATCGCATTATTACTCTTATTTCACTTGTTGTCGACTTGCCATCTTCGCGAGTAATGTTTGGCAAGTGCATTTTTGACATTTGCTTCCACAAGTAAAATTAATCAGATTCAATCAGGCCAGTGACAAGGCCTATACCAACAGCAGCGTTTGACAGTAGGCAGCATGTCCCGGGCTCAAATCATTTATTTTGCTGTGCTGGGCCCGCTGTCACTGTATAACATGTTGCCTACGCGCCTGCCACTGGGCTGGATTCAATGGATGAAAACAGTGGTGCCAATTCAAACGACAATCATTTTGATTTAAAGGTGTTATAAAGTACATATTTTTCAACGACAAATCACTTTGTTTCAAAACTCAAATCACTTGAAAATCAATGATATATATCACTTTGATTCGAAGTGCCGCATGACAGACTGAGTCAAGTGCAAGAGCATTTGAAATAGATGTGACAACTTTTCACCGTGTACACCGGCGCCACTGGAAGCGTTCATCAATCGATTGTTCTCTATGAAGACATCGTTGATCTAGAAAGCCTGGACTTTCGTATAGGTAACTGACTTCGTTGCATTGAAAACGCTCACTGGCCCAGGTAGATTGGCAGTCGCTTGACTTGTGTTCCTCCATTGATGAAGCCGTTAACTACTTCGACGAAGGTGTGAGCCGATTAATATTGGATGGGGGTTATTTCGAGAGTCGAAGTGACTTTTTTCTTCGGATGGGAAGTAAAGCCGTTGGTCCCCGGTTCATGAGTTGATGGGTCGATAGGTAGGGTCCAGCTGTGGGAGCTGCCTTCCTGGCACGTCGGTAGCATTGGTGCTCAGCACGGAAAACAAGATCGACGGCAAAAACAAACCAAAGGAAAAAAAAAAAGTGACTTTTGTCACTAGTGAAGTGAGAAAAGTCACGTCGTGGTGGTGTGACTCTCTGTGCAAATGAAATGAAGAGAACCTAAGAAAGGAAATAGAATACTGGGGATGATTTTTTTTTCTATGAATGGAAGGTGATACCTAAATCCTTTAAAATATACATTTTTAAATGTCCAACGATTATTTATTCCTCCGAAGCGTCTGCTTCGCTATCTTCATCACTGTCCTCTTCGTTTCTAGTACCAGTCCGATCGATCAACATCAGCTCACTATCACTTACCTCACCATCGTCTCCGTCTTGAATCTTCTCCAATCGCTTCCTCTCTTCGTCCTTTTCCTTGTGCAGGCTCATGTTCTTCAGTACCTGGATTGTATACTTGTTGAAATCGCATCTGCAAAAGAAAAAGATTAGTCATTCCCAAGTGTAACGTATTCAATTCCGTAAACTTACATCTTGTTCAATGCTTCATACTTCCGATTAAGGTTTTGGTGAAGCAACAAAAGAGTCTGTTGGGTCAGGACATTCTCCTGCTGTCCCAGCCGTGTCAGCAGCAGATTGGACCATTTGAGATAGAATTCAACGTGTGGACTGGAGGCCACGATCTTCGAGACGAACTTCAACGAACGATGGGCGAACTCGTCCGGTAGGGATTGGATTATCAATTCCACTGAAATGGAAGCGATGGTGGTTAACATTGTTTGCGATTTCGATAGATTGACATCATTTACCATCACTGTAAGGCACCTTCTCGATCACCTCGTGGATTAGATTGTTCTCGTTTAGTTTCAGTGCCATTATCAGTGCCGCCGAGTAGTCCTGCTTCCGCAGCAATTCCCTAGTCGCTTTTGGTGTAATTTCCACCGACAGTTGGTACGGATCGAAAACGATTCCCTTGTTCAAGGAGTACATCAACAGACCTTCGGTGGAAGCAGCGGCCCACGATTGGCCAGTTGGGGAGAACCGAACTGCAAACACGTTCACCTCGGGTTTCTGATTCCGTGCGGCTAGATCACCTCGTTTTACTCCGGGTAGTTTGATGGCCACGTTACCACCTTCTAGGCTTTCTCGCTCCTCGACTAGGGCGATGTTTCCAAACTCGGTCAAATTTTTGCGGTTCATATATTCCTGAAAGGAAAATCGGTCTTAGCGAAAAAAATCAAACTTAATTCGTGTCAAACCTACATCCATTCCATCCAAACTTCGATTCTGGGTGATTTGGAATTTCTTGAGCAGAATTGCTTCCCTCACGTTGTAGATGCAGACGTACTTGGACTTACCGCCAGCCAAAATGCATTCACCATCGGCTGAATAGCAGATGGAAGTGAATGCTCTGAAAAGTAAGATCTCATCAGATCAGTCAAATTACGTGAAATCGAACTGAGCTTACCTTCCAATGAGGTTCTTCTCGGCTGTGTTCAAATCCGTTGCAGAGACACTTCCACCCATGTCGTTCCTACCTTCGATGGAAGATAACTGTTGAGCGGTCTTCACATGAAACACCGTGATGTGGCCATTCAAAGAAGCAGCTGCAACTTCTTCTCCATTTGGTTTGAAAGCCACGGAAAGCACATCGGATGTCACATCGATGGTTTCATGAGCCCCGGATGTTTCCAAACAATCCCACACGCGAATCGATTTGTCCCAGGACCCGGACACCATGGTCGACGATGAGGCCACAGGAGAAAAGGCCAAAGTCACAACCGGACCTTCATGACCGCTGAGAACTTCCAGAAGTCTTCCCAATTTCATAGACCATAGATAGATTTCGAACACATCTTGACCCCCGGCGGCAACCAACTCTCCAGAATGGTCCACAGCGACAGATGCAAACTGCACCGGTTCCGGAGACGTAAACGTCCGGAAGTTTCTATACCGAACAATATCGTAAGCGCGGACGGTTCCATCCAGGGAAGCACTTGCAAAGAATTTCTTGTTCCCACTGAATTCGACCGCTGTAACCACGCTGGAATGTTCGGTGAATGTTACGAAACAGAACCCGTTGCTGATGTTCCATAGCTTGACCTTTCCATCCAGACCGCCCGTTGCCAGTAGTTGGCCATCGGGTGAGTAGGTCACGCAATTCAATCCCGTAGAATGACCCTGCTGCTTCATGATGTACTGTTCGCTTTGCCACTCCCAAACCAACAGCTGACCGGGTTCCGAAACTCCCAAAGCGATCCAATCTCCGGTGTTGTTGAAAGTAACGGAATCGATTCTGAAATCGGATATACTAAGCGAATGGATCATGTTGACATCGGGAAGCTCGTGGAGATAGAAAACTCCAGTCGAAAAAGCGGTTATGAGAATTTTCATCTGCTTGTGATATGCTGCGGTAGTAACGTACGCCTTTGGATTCTCCTTCCGTGCCTCATCCGCTAGGTAGTGTCGAGCCAAACGTTTGTACTTGAAATCCTTCTTGGGTTCCTTCTTCACCAATCGTCCCTTCTTATCGCGGTCCTCGTCCTTATCAAAGTCGCCTTGAACGTGTTCAATATCTTCATCCTCGTCCTTTCCTGACTTCTCATAATCTTTATCCATTCCTATGTCATCTTCCTGTTCTTCCTTTTCGTCCTGTTTAATCTTCTTCATGACCGACACTTCAATGGCGGCGTCCTTGTACCCCGTTGAAATATCTTCCACATCCGTGCTGCACTCCCACAGCATCAGCAGTCCATCCTTGCTGATCGTATTCACATCCAAAGTCTTTTCTTCAAAGAAACAACCCACAATCCCATCCCGGTGGCCACCCAGAATAAACGGACGGAAGTTTTTCAAAAATTCCACACCCTGCACCCGAACCGAATTGTCCTTCGAACCAACGGCCAGTATCTTCGAATTACAAGCCCAATCAATAAACGTCGTCTCATCATACGCAATCTCGAAGGCTCGTTGAATCACAAACGAATTGTATGTCCCGCTAAGTTCACCCGGAGCTCGGAATATCAGAACCGCATTGTTCACGGACGCCGCAAAGAACTTGCCATCCGGACTGAAGCGAAGGTACTTTACTTCACCCTTGAACTTGTATCGATGGATCACGGTGCGAGAAATCATACTAATCATCTGCGCTTCGCCGACTTCATTGACCGCCACCAGGGTGCACCCATTCGGCGACAGGTCCAGGGCGGTGTAGTTGTGTTCGCTTTCCAGCGAAAGGGTGTGCGATTTGTTGCTAGAAATGGATTTCTCATTAACTTGTTTTGAAATTACAGCTAAGCTAAGTTTCGACATACTTTTTAAGATCGAAAATCGTGATCCGATTGCCCACTGGGCTGATGACGGAATTCCCATCGGGACTGAACAGTAGTGTACCCTGTCGGTACACGGAACCGAGCAGGTTGCTGAACTGAAATTGTACGTAAATATTACCTTTCAAAAGCAATTTATTATGGCGTAATGTTGAATCTTACCTTATAAGCAAACTTCATTGCTTTGATGGGCGAAAACTATTGAAATAACACTATTTTTCGGGGAAAATAGAACGATTTTTCATGAAAACACACCCGCAACATGCGTGATAAATAAACACCATGTGCCGATCGGGGTTTGACGTTTCTCTCATACGTTCTCTGTTGTGTTTTGGTTCACTTCCACTTCGTTCCTACCCGCACGATAGAGAGCGAGAGGAGAGCTTTATTGATGGTTTTGCTAAGGAGAGAACTTGGTGAAAATGCAACTAGTGTGATGCACTTTCTCTCTCTCGTTGCATTCGATTTGCTTTTCGCGCGCATTTTATGTGCAGTCACGTGTTCGTCGATTAAATTTATAGTGAATTCGTTTATTATCAGTGCGAAACCGAACTTTCGGAAAGTGCGAACCTCAACCTGAGCTAGGTTTTAAAAACAAACGAGCAAACTGAATAATCAACGAATTCGCTATTCATTGTGATCAATGTCGTAACATATTTGCATATATCCGAAATCGAAATTTATTTGCCATAAAACATCATCGTACAAATTATGCAAAATATGGGCCATTAAACCGCATGATGGCCTCTTACAATCAATACTGCGAAACCATTGACTTTACAATGTCTCGGCATAAACTAAAACAATATTTTTACTCCATAAGGCATTATAACTCATAAAAAATAGGAAAGCTGACACTGCTTAATTTTTATTAAAGAAAAAATTATACTTTTAACCTTTTGTCCAAAGTTGACGAAATAAATAAATAAATTTAAGAAAACAAAACTGTATTCTCATATGTACTAGTCTACGTTGGTTGACGAAATAAATAAATAAATAAATTTGAAAGTTCAGAATAGGTTATTTGAATGATGCATTGGGACGAATAAAAAAAGGTATGAATATTAACTACGTCAACCTACGTGAACACATACACATTTTTGGTGAACATTTTGCACGTATTATAATTTTTATTTCACTGCAAATTTTAATCGGGTCATCGTATAGCTGATAGACGGCAGAAAGGGAACCATCCAGTGAACAACTGAATATTGTTTTTTTGAACTTTGACCTGTGTATTTGTTTATTTGTTATGTTTGCATCAGCAGACTAGAAATAGTCCCAATGTGTTGTAAAAAAAGTACATATTAAACAGACTACATATACTACAGTTACAAACGAAAATAACTAGGAAAGCGTTGTCAAGTTATTAAAAATTTATAAGTCTTAAATTTTACACATATAGCTGTTGGGCGTCAAGCGCCTTCGGTCAGCAAAAAAGGCAGAGAATCTTCGGCGAAGCATATTCCGTGTCAAGTGGAAATCGAACATCGACGCTACTCGGTTGAACACTCGCTGCAAGCCGTAAATAGCGCTCCATAAGCTATAATTAGTTCGAAGAAGTGGAAGTCTCAGCATAAGACTGTTGCGTAGTGATCGAGGTTGAACATTAATGTTCACTTGTTGCAGAATTCGATTCTTCCTTGCAGAGTATCGGCGACGGTTAAGGCTCTGAAAACATCTCTTCTGATACGTAAGAGCTCGACATTGATCAATTGACAGCGATTCTCGTAGCTTGGAAGACGAAGTGGGTATTGTAGAGTTCAGTAATATCAGTGCTAACATTTGAAAACGGCGCAAAAGCCATTTGTAAACAAATGGTTTGTGAGCCCTTTACTCGCTACCCGAAGAACGCCCACGCAAACAAACAGCATCGTCAGGAAGGGGAAAATTTCCCCTACCCGATGTTGCTGTTGTGTCGCGTGGGTGTACTTCAAGTAGTGAGTAAAGGGCCCACAAACCATTTGTTTACAAATGGCTTTTGTGCCGTTTTCAAATGTTAGCACTGATATTATACGTTATGCAGAGGTACGCCCATAGAGGTAACTCTAAGACCACTGGGTCCCGAAGAAAATCATTATTATTTTTGGCTCACTCAGTACCAGAACAACGGTCCCAAGCAGTCCCAAGCTATTTCACTCACCCCTGCATGTTCTGCATGAATCCACACACCCCTGATGTTATCTGTCAAACTTTCATAGCGAATCAAAACAAACATAGTGTAGTAATAGAATTTCAACTAGAATAGGGTACGTTAATCGTTTGCTTGGGACCAATAGGCTACTAAAGTGGTGAGCCAATTTAAAATCGTTAGTTTCGTATTGATTGTTGGTACGCCTCTGTATGGTTGGGCTAGAATACATCCCTGTATTCGTCTAGTAGTATTGGCGAACTATAGGAACGAGAGGATGATCACAAGCGATATCGAGTTAGTTGCGATACGAATATCACTGGAGGTGGACGACAGTAGCTGGTTGAAGCAGAACGAACCAAGAGGCATCGGGTGATTCTACAATTTGGCGCAGCCGGTACGATTTTTTTATAGAGATCGGTGACTGGAGAGATGGAGGATAATTTTACTTGGATACGGTACGTAGAGGTAATTTCATGAATTGTGTTTAAAGATGCACCTGTGGAAACAAATTATGATGAAGCAAGTCCAGCTAAGAAGCTGCAGTGCTACGCGAGTCCGGTTTTCAACCGAAGCGCTAGAGGAAAAAGCGAGTCCAGTGAAACACTGAAGCGCACTATCACATTGCTAGGCCAGTTGATGAGCTGTAGAGCACAAGCGAGTCCGGTTATCAACCGAAGCGCTAGAGAAAAAAAAAGCGAGTCCAGTGAAATACTGAAGCGTATTAGGAACAACATTGCTAGGCCAGCTGATGAGCTGCAGAGCACAAGCGAGTCCGGTTGTAAACCGAAGCGCTACAGGAAAAAGCGAGTCCAGTGTAACACTGAAGCGCACTACTACTACTACATTGCTACGCCAGCCTACAGGCTGAAGAGCAAGAGCGAGACAGGTGATCTACCTTAGCGCTGTTTGATAAGTGAGTGAGTGAGACCAGTTGTTTCAGACTGTAGCACATGACTAATCTAGAAGGAATTGACCAGCAAATGTGGCTGAAGAGTATAGTGATGTCCGATTTTCTCAATTAAATGATTATTTATTAATCGAGAAGTAATAGGACATCACTACTGAAGAATCAGAGAGATAGCGTGGGAGTGTGAGTCGCATGAATATTGTTAGCTCAGTCGTAGATTGAAAAACGAGGGGGAGTGTGAGACCATAACTTCGTAGCACACATGGAAGTTATATTTGATACTACACTCAAGGCTAGACCAGCTTTGCACTGAACGGTCGATTGGAAAGCTGAAAGTACAGATGACCGCAAGGCGAGTCGAAGGGTTGAAGTGCGAGAGCGAGCGCAATGAAATAAATCGCTTGATAAAAATAAGGCACAGTAAAATACTGAAGTGCATTATTGTTGATTAGTAGTGAAATTAGTGAATAAGCCAGATCAGTTGTTGCAGATCATAGTGCAAATTATTGGGGACTATCTGATAGACCAGAAAGCAACTGATTTTAGGAAATTGGATTTTAATAGACAAAAAAAAAGAAAACAAACGAAGTGAGAGGAAATAGTATGATCAATTGATTGATTGATCGATTTCCTTTATTTAAGAGATTTTCAGCCGTAAGATGGTTCATCTCCGGATAGAAAGATTATGATTTGTGAGACCAGGATTTAGAAGAATTCAGTAGCTTTTAAGCTTTAGAGCTAGAATATGTGAGTGAAGCGACGTTTAACAAAATTTCGGTGCATGCTATAAACACAGATAATTCTGGTCCAGAGAAATATGAAGCATAGAACAGGAAACCAGGGGACTAGCATCCCTATATCAATCCTATACGTTTGATCGTAGGAAACATCGCGGGCCTTATTTAAATTCTGCCCGCATGACGTATGGATGGTGGAAAAGGATGGAAAATCATGTTTGAAGCAAAAGGACAGGGCAGATGATAGCATAAAAAAACATGGTTGCAAGTCAGTTTTCTGAAGAAAACTATTCAACACGTGTGTTTGTAGATTTTTATTTGAGATCAAGTACTGATTTAAAACACCGAGTACAACTGCAGACCTACGGATAATATTTCCAAGCACGCACACAGATGCCGTTGTTGTTGGATGGACTGAGAATCGAACACTAATCTAAATGATGAACCATAACACAATGAGAAACTTTCTGAGACAGTATGAAAACGGCGTCCGTGGTGTAGTGATAAACGTGACTGCTTCTTATCCCAGTGTGAATGCTTTCAATGTCTTTCGAGATCTTTGGGTTTTGTGTGATGTGTCTGATAACGTCTTCCTTTGACAGAGAAGTAAAGTCGTTGGTCCTGGTCCATATAGTGACGGGTGCGATATCTACCCAGGTGTGAAAGCAGCCCCATGGAATTCAATGGTCGTCAAGGGAAGTCAATCGATGCCCGTCGGCGGCACTTGATTGCGGAGCTGAGGCCAACGTCAATAAAAAAAAAATGGAATCGAAATCCAAAATTTCATCACTTTTGGTACACTGGAACTATTTTAAATAAGTACGATTACATTAGCAAAAATCACCATCTTAGCGCCCCTTGGTGGAACTTTGTATAGGAGCGAGCTGTCAACGAATAGATTTAGTGTCAACGATAAAAAAAATTTAAATATTGATTTAAAAATCGAGATGAATGTCTACGGGATCGATAAAAATATCGTTGTCTCAGAAAACAAAGCTCTATCAGATGATGTATAAAAATCGATATATTTTTCGAAGTTAAACAACCCAATTAGAAGACCTGATTCTTAATCTTTTTGGTATGACATAGGAATAAGGCTCTATGGTCTAACTCTTAGCAATAAGTTCAATTTAGGATGTGATCTTGCACATTTTATAAATGTCTGGATGACATTAGTGTTGCTGATCTTTGGTTGGCATAAATAGCTAAGGAAGGGCTCCATAGAACACGTACTTGATTGCAGGAGTAAACTTGTGTGGGAGCGTGAAAGCCAGGGAGAGCAGAAAGAAGTATCCCGAGCAGCACACTTGTCGCTGAACAGTTGCGGTTACTTATATGAAACTTGTTACGGTGCACGTGTGCTCCTTGGGGTGCTCTTCGTATTGGAAAAGTGACTTAATTTTTCCAACGTAAGAAATAATGCGGTAAAAGTCGATTAACAGTCTTAATAGGGAAGAGCACAACTACGGCATCAGTGCCCATTTCCATCATATC